CGATTTCTGTAAAAATGAGCTCTCTAGCTGCCCTACAGCTTGAGTTAAGTAAAGAAAACCGAGAGCGTCTGTCAAGATGACTCGAACAATACGAATAGGTTTGTGGACCTAGCTCAGCTAGCAGACCGAATTCAGCCCTCTAGATTCAATAGGCGAACGCGCCTGATCATTCTGAATCGATTAGCTGTCCTTACCAGCTCTGTAGCTGTCCTAAAGCTCGAGTTATGTTCAGATAACCGTCATCGCGTGTCAAGATGACTCGAAACAGCCGATCCCGCCGCGACGCTTTTTTGCAGAAATATTTACCCGATCGAACTGAGATTAAGATGGCGAGCGGAAATAAGATCGAATATGGTCAGAAAAAATACTAGAGCTCAAACGAATTGTTGAATTTCGAAAAGAAAACTGGGAACCGACGGTAAACCGTCCGCCGGGGCCCTCGTAGAGCTCTTTTCTCACACTGAAGAAAGCGTCTGGACCAAGACCTGAGAAACTCGAAAAATCACGTTTTTCTGTTTTTATTCAACGTTGGTTCCTCCAAGTGTTTTGATAAATACTACAGCTACGGACCTGAAAATTTTACTGGCAGACGCGCCTTAACCAACCACAGGTGCGGAGCATCTGCTTTCTCAATATGAAATGTCAAATATCTTTCAAATATCCGCAAAACCACCCAAAAGTTACCACTTTGTCCTTTCTGGCCGGGTCGACCAACTAGCTCCATCCCGCGCCGGAACTGGCGCCGGCGGTGAACCGTCAACCTGGTCACCGCCGGGAACCTCGCAGAGCTCCTTTCACGCGTAAGAGTGCTCAGAGTCGAAAGAGAGAGCTTCTCGAAGCATCTCGAAAAAGAGAAAAAATATATATTTTTTTCGTGCCGACATGAAGATGGTTCCTCCAAGTGTTTTGATAGTAAAAATGCGCCTACGGAGCTCATACTAAGACAGAGAGGCAGGTGCGAAAAAACTGCTTTCTCAAAATGAATTGTCAAATATCTTTCAAAAAATTGCAAAACCACCCAAAAGTTACCACTTTGTCCTTTTTCTGGCCGGGTCGACCAACTGGGCGCCGGCGGTAAACCGTCAACCTTCGTTACCGCCGGGGGACTCGTAGAGCTTCCTGAAAACATATAATGTCGAAAAAAATTACACTCGAAAAATAGTTTTTCAGCCCAAGCAATTTCAGACCTCTCCGATGCAACAGCCGAACGCCCCAGATGCTTCTGGATTGTCTTTTGTACGAGTTCTGTAGCTCTCCTACAGCCCGAGTTACGTGCGTAAATCGACAGCACCTCTCAAGATTACTCGAACATTTCGAATAATTTGGCAAACCTAGCTCGAGTATCAGACCGAGTTCAGACCGCATGCGACGCGGACGCGTCTGATGTCTCTGAATCGATTCCTGTGATAGCCAGCCCTGCAGCCCCCTACAGCCCGAGTTAAGTGCAGGAAACCGAAGCTCTCAGAATGACTCGAACAATACGAATAGTTTCGCGGACCTAGTTCGGGCAGCAGACAGAGTTCGGAGCTCTAGATTCGAAAGGCGGATGCACCTGATGTCTCCGAATCGATTCCAGTGATTACCAGCCATGCAGCCCCCCCACAGCCCGAGTTGAGTGCAGAGAACCGACAGCATCTCTCAAGATGACTCGAACAATATGAATAGTTTTGCGATTCTAGATCGGGCAGCAGACCGAGTTCAGAGCTTTGGATTCAAGAGAGAACTGCCACTGGTAATTCTGGATCAGATTCTGTACGTATCAGCTCTGTAGCTGTCCTATAGCCCGAGTTAAGTACGGAAAATCGAGGGTGTCTGTCTGGATAGCTCGAATAATACGAATAGGTTTGCGGATCTAGCTCGGCTAGCAGACCGAGTTCAGACCTCTAGATTCAACAGGCGAACGCGCCTGATCATCCTGAATCGATTAGCTGTGCTAACCAGCTCTGTACTTGTCCTGAAGCTAGAGTTATCTTGAGAAAACCGTCACCGCGTGACAAGCTGACCCAAAACGGGCGATCCCGCCGCAGTGCTTTTTGACAGTAAAAGGTACCCGATCGAGCTGAGATAAAGATGGCGAGCGGGAATAAGATCGAATATCACGGGAAAAAATACTAGAGCTCTAACGAATGGTTGAATTTCGAGAACCGAATTTTCAACCGACCAAAAGTCATCAAAATGTCGTCGAGATTTTTCTTGCCAACTAGCTCTCCAGCGCCCCGGAATTACACTTAAGCTTCCAGCAATGACTTGCTAAGGGAAGCTCTACGAGTTACTAGCTCCACCCCAAGCCGGAATTTCTCTAGCTCATCGATGCCGAAGAGCTCTACGAGGTATTCCTCTAGCTCATCGACGACGAAGAGCTCTACGAGGTACTGGGCGCCGGCGGTAAACCGTCAACCTTTGTTTTTTTGCGGTTTGCGGTCCGCCACTAGAATCCGAATCCGAATCGGCGGACCTTTGTTACCGCCGGGGGACTCGTAGAGCTTCCTGACAACATATAATGTAGAAAAAAATTACACTGAACAAATAGTTTTTCAGCCCAAGCAATTTCAAACCTCTCGGATGCAACAGCCGAACGCCCCCGATGCTTCTGGATTCTCTTCTGTACGAGCTCTGTAGCTCTCCTCCAGCCCGAGCTACGTGCGAAAATCGACAGCACCTCTCAAGATGACTCGAATAATACGAATATGTTGCAAACCTAGCTCGATTGTCAGACCGAGTTCAGACCTCTGCATGCGACAACTGGACGCGTATGATGTCTGCGAATCGACTCCTGCGATTACCAGCCCCCTACAGCCCGAGTTAAGTGCAGGAAACCGACAGCACCTGTCAGGATGACTCGAATAATGAATATTTTTGCAGACCTAGCTCGGGCAGCAAACAGAGTTCGAAACTCTAAATTCGAAAGGCGGACGCGCCCGATGTCTTCGAATCGATTCTAGTGATTACCAGCCATGCAACTGCCCTACAGCCCGAGTTAAGTGCAGAGAACCAACAGCATCTCTCAAGATAACTCGAACAATACAAATAGTGTTTCCGATTCTCAATCGGGCAGCAGACCGATTTCAGAGCTCTGGAGTCAACAGACAAGGGCCACTGATGATTCTGGATCAGATTCTGTACGTATCAGCTCTGTACTGTCCTTTAGCTCGACTTAAGAACAGAAAATTCAAAGCGTCTCTCAAGATAACTCGAATAGTACGAATAGATTTGCGAACCTGGCTCGGCTAGCAGACCGAGTTCAGACCGCTCGGCTCAACAGGCGAACGCGCCTCATTATTCTGAATCGATTAGCTGTGCTTACCAGCTCTGTACCTGTCCTGAAGCTCGAGTTATCTTGAGAAAACCGTCACCGCGTGACAAGCTGACCCGAGACGGGCGATCCCGCCGCAGTCCTTTTTGGGAGTAAAAGGTACCCGATCGAGCTGAGATCAAGATGCCGAGCGGGAATAAAATCGAATATCACGGGAAAAAATACTAGAGCTCTAACGAATGATTGAATTCCGAGAACCGAATTTTCAACCGACGAAAAGTGATGAAAATGTCGGTCGAGATTTTTCTTGCCAACTAGCTCTCCAGCGCCACGGAACTGGGAACCGGCGGTACACCGTCAACCAGATTACTGCCGGGGCCCTCGTAGAGCTCTTTTCTCACACGGCGCTCATCGGTAAGCATAAAGAAAGCGTCTAGAGCAAGACCTGAGAAACTCGAAAAATCACGTTTTTCTGTTTTTATCCAACATTGATTCCCCCAAGTGTTTTGATAGTAATGCTACAGCTACGGACCTGAAAATTTCACTGGCAGGCGCGCCTTAACCCACTACAGGTGCGAAAAATCTGATTTCTCAAAATCAATTGTCAAATATATTCCAAACATTTGCAAAACTACCCAAAAGTTGCCACATTGTCCGCCTCGGCCGGCTGAGCCAACTGGGCGCCGGCGGTAAACCGTCAACCTTTCTTTTTTTTGCGGTTTGCGGTCCGCCACTAGAATCCGAATCCGAATCGGCGGAGCAGTGCAACTGAGCCCCCCACCATCTTAGGTAGGACGCAGCAGAGCGCACGCCACCTTAGCAGCAGCTCTCGTCAGGGCAGCGCAGGCAGTTAGTTCACAGCAGGTTACTGCGCTACCAGGAGGCAAGCTCATCGCCTCCTCGGCCACATCGTGCCAATGGAAGCTGTGCGAGCTGGTGCAGGAGGAAGAGGAGGAGGAGGAGGAGGAGGAGGAGATGGGAAAATCAACCTGCACGCTGGAACCCCTACCTACAACGCCAATCTGAAGCCACCACCCACCTCCACATCCTTCATTACTGACACCCCCATCGAATGCACCACGGAGAGCAGTCTTACGAGTACTGAGGAACTTATCATATGCAAACCAGCGAGTAATAGTTTGGCCACCTCTGGCCTCCCACGATCCTCCACGGATACGTCTGATACAATGTCTCTGTTGTCGTAAATATATGAAGTCAGAACACTGATACATGAATTGATAGCAACACGAACAGCACGGCCTGTAGCTCTCATGAGTCCAGCCAGCGGGGAGCCAAAGGGAGAGCAAGCGGGGAGCAGGGAAGCCCAAGGAGCCAAAGCGAGCCCAGGGGCAGAAACAGCGGGGGAGAGGAAGGGACAAACACAACAGAAGCATGCGTAGTCAATTCAAATAATTCCATCAAGCTCTCCGCTGCTCTGCAATTCACATAATTCCATAAAGTTGTCATAGAGGTGTTTCGCCTCTTTCACAAGAGCAGACGGCTGGGCAGCACTGTCCATAACCTGCTGAAGGTCATGTAAGACGGCTTCGATTGAATCGTGATCCCTGAAGGTTTGGAACGCATCCCAAATCCAACAGTCCCGTTCGTCCTCATCGCAGGCTCGAAATTCAGAAAGGAAATCTGGCACGTGCACCGTTGACACGACGTCGTCCGTAGCAGTCGTCCGTACAAATCTGTATTTTCTGATACGAAGATTTAGCGCCTTTTCCAGGTACAGGCGAAAATCCTCCTGAGCCACCTCCTCCTGCTCCATCTGAGCAACAGCTTCAATATGAACATTATCCTCCTCCTCGTTCTTGCAGCCAGGGTTCGATGCCACGACGAGCGTGACATCGGATACTGCCTCCGACTCCTCCTCCGCCTCCTCAGTCACTTTCCCAAGAACAGTTCCTCGTATGTTGGCGCCTTTAGAGCTCTTGGCCGGCTTGGCGCTGCTATGATATCGTTGGCCTTTGCCTCTGCTTTTGCGGTGACCTCGTACAGGATTCGATACCTCATTGAGCGTGACGGGACGATTCAGACACCCCTGGGACGCACCTGACAAGGCGCGGCTATCGGAATCAGACTGCACGTTCGGAGAAGACTCCGCACTCGAGGGCGCCTCCAGCTCCTCCTCCGCCGCCACGGTCACTTTCCCAAGAAGAACTCCGGAAGCTCCTTACCGCCGGGGGACTCGTAGAGCTTCGTGACAATATATAATGTGGAAAAGAATTTCAGAGAACGACTAGTTTTTTCAGCCCAAGCGATTATAGACCTCTGAAGATGACTCTAACAAAACAAACGAACAGTTTTCCAATCGAGCTCGAGTATGAAACCGAGTTCAGACCTCTGAATGCGACAGGCGGACGCGTCTGATGTCTGCGGATCGATTCCTGTGATTACCAGCTCTGCAGCCCCCCATACAGCCTGAGTTAAGTGCAGAAAACCGAGAGTACCTCTCAGGATGACTCGAATAATACAACAGTTTCGCGGATCTCGTTCGAGCAGCAGACCGAGTTCCGAGCTCTCGGTTCGACGAACGGACGCGCCTGATGTCTCGAAATCGATTCCTGTGACCAGCAGCACTGTAGCCCTCCGCCCAGCACGATTTAAGTACAGAAAACCGAGAGCACTTCTCAAGATGACTCGAACAATACCAATAGGTTCGCGAACCTAGCTCGGGACGCAGGCCGAGTTCAGAGCTCTTGATTCAACAGACGAACGCGCCTGATAATTCTCAATCGATTTCTGTGATTATCAGCTCTGTGGCTGCCCTACAGATCGAGTTAAGTACGAAAAACCGAGAGCGTCTGCTACAATGACTCGAATAATACGAATAGGTTTGCGACCCTAGCTCGGCTAGCAGACCGAGTTCAGACCTCTGGATTCAACAGGCGAACGCGCCTGATCATTCTGAATGCATTAGCTGTGCTGACCAGCTCTGTAGTTGTCCTGAAGCTCGAGTTATCTTGAGAAAACCGACAGCGCGTATCAAGATGACTCGAAACGGCCGTTCCCGCCTGCCTGCTTTTTGGCCTTCAAAGTTACCCGATCGAGCTGAGATCAAGATGGCGAGCGGGAATAAGATCGAATATCATGGGAAAAAATACTAGAGCTCTAACGAATGGTCAAATTTCGAGAACAAAATTTTCAACCGACCAAAAGTCACCAAAAGGTCCGTCGAGATTTTTCTTGCCAACTAGCTCTCCAGCGCCCCGGAATTACTCTTAAGCTTCCAGCAATAACTTGCTGAGGGAAGCTCTACGAGTTACTGGGCGCCGGCGGTAAACCGTCAACCTTTCTTACCGCCGGGGGACTCGTAGAGCTTCCTGACAATATATAATGTGGGAAAAGAATTTCAGAGAACGACTAGTTTTTCAGCCCAAGCGATTATAGACCTCTCAAGATGACTCTAACAAAACAAACGAACAGTTTTCCAATCGAGCTCGAGTATGAAACCGAGTTCAGACCTCTGAATGCGACAGGCGGACGCGTCTGATGTCTGCGGATCGATTCCTGTGATTACCAGCTCTGCAGCCCCCCATACAGCCTGAGTTAAGTGCAGAAAACCGAGAGTACCTCTCAGGATGACTCGAATAATACAACAGTTTCGCGGATCTCGTTCGAGCAGCAGACCGAGTTCCGAGCTCTCGGTTCGACGAACGGACGCGCCTGATGTTTCGAAATCGATTCCTGTGACCAGCAGCACTGTAGCCCTCCCCCAGCACGATTTAAGTACAGAAAACCGAGAGCACTTCTCAAGATGACTCGAACAATACCAATAGGTTCGCGAACCTAGCTCGGGGAGCAGGCCGAGTTCAGAGCTCTTGATTCAACAGACGAACGCGCCTGATAATTCTCAATCGATTTCTGTGATTATCAGCTCTGTGGCTGCCCTACAGATCGAGTTAAGTACGAAAAACCGAGAGCGTCTGCTACAATGACTCGAATAATACGAATAGGTTTGCGACCCTAGCTCGGCTAGCAGACCGAGTTCAGACCTCTGGATTCAACAGGCGAACGCGCCTGATCATTCTGAATGCATTAGCTGTGCTGACCAGCTCTGTAGTTGTCCTGAAGCTCGAGTTATCTTGAGAAAACCGACAGCGCGTATCAAGATGACTCAAAAACGGCCGTTCCCGCCTGCCTGCTTTTTGGCCTTCAAAGTTACCCGATCGAGCTGAGATCAAGATGGCGAGCGGGAATAAGATCGAATATCATGGGAAAAAATACTAGAGCTCTAACGAATGGTCAAATTTTGAGAACAAAATTTTCAACCGACCAAAAGCCACCAAAAGGTCCGTCGAGACTGGGCGCCGGCGGTAAACCGTCAACCTGGTTTTTGAGTTTGAGTCAGGGCGCGGACAGCTGTGACAGCTGAGCCCTAAGACTCCCAAACGGAGCACAGGGTAGCTGGAGAGGGCAACTCTTATCATCACACTGCCGAGCCACTGAGGCATAGGCAACGGAATAGGATGCAGGAACAAGGAAAAGGATGCAATACAACATGTGAAAATGTAAAGGTGTTGGAGAGCTCCAAGCAAGATGAAATGAGTCAGCTGCTTGGATGAAAGATGCTACCCAAAATGTGCTCCACGGCCATACAGAGCCGTTGTGCTGCAATCATCTCACAAAACATGACAGAAGCAGAGGCATCAAGCGAGACAGCTTCCTCCGCCACCAACTGCCACGTCCCGTGTACACACAAATCTATACACCATCCTGCAGCACATCCCTCCGGGGACCTCGTAGAGCTCCTAGCCACGTGTCATAAGTCCACGCGTATCTCTGGAGTGCGCACGGTGAAATATTTCCAATAATAAAATGGACACATACATGTACGAGTTGTAGTGCGTCTTTCAGCGCGCGAGAGCGATGCTGCCGCGGCAGCGAACATGTAGGTAGACATGTACAGATGGACAAGCATGCGAAAATACGATCGACGTCAGCAGGCGCGGCAACGCGCCGGGCACGAGCGCGCGCACGCACATGCGCGCGCACGCGAATATACACAAACTCTCACGCGGGCACGCACTCACAACCACGCGCGCCCACTCGCGCGCGGGCACCCCCTCACGCACACACACACACACGCACACACACACACACACACACACGCACACAAACACACATTCACACACACACACACACACACACACACACACACGCACCAACAAAAACACACACACACACACACACACGCGCGCGCAGAAAGACACGAACACAGACACAGACACAGACACACCCGCACGCACACGCACACACACACACACACACACAGACGCGGCCACACACACGCACACACACACACACACACACACTGCCTGCCAGACACACACACACACACACGCACAAACGCAAACATCTACAGATACAGACGGACCGACGCCCTCGCACTCACAAACCGATCCCCCGCTGCTCAGCGCTCTCATTCCCCGCGAAATCCTCGCGACCCCGCGCACCCCGCCCCCCCCCCCTTTTCCGCCGGCGCTCCGGAGGGGGGAGGCACCGCCCCATGTCGGGGCCGGCCCTCCCTCCACTCCATCCACTCCGCCCTCGCGGAGCGCTGGGGGGGGGGGGATGGGAGGTGGGGGGGGGGGGCGCGGGCGGCGCCTGCACCGCGCGCGCACACGCACGCAAACGCACACACACACACACACACACGCACGCAAACACACACACACACACAAACAGACAAACGCAGACACAGCCACACACACACACACACACGCGCCCCCACACACACCACCTGCCAGACACGCACACGCACACGCACACACACACGCACACAGACACACACACACACACACAATCCACAGACACGGACACACTGACGCCCCACACTGGTCAGCGCTCTCCGCCCCCGCCACCCCCCTGCCGCCCCTGCGCGCCCCGCCCCCCCTGCTCTTCCCGCCGGCGCTCCGGAGGGGGGAGGCACCGCCCCATGTCGGGGCCGGCCCTCCCTCCACTCCATCCACTCCGCCCTCGCGGAGCGCCGGAGGAAAGGGCGGAGGGGGAGGGAAGGAGGCGGGCGCAGGCGGCGCCAGCACCGTGCGCGCACGCACACACACGCACACACGCACACCCACGCACACACAAGCACACACACACGCACACACACACGCACACACACACACACACGCGCACACGCACCCGAACACACACACAAACACACACGCACACACGCAAGCAAGCACATGCGCATACACGCACACGCAGACACGCGCACACACACACACACACACATATATATATATGCACATACACGCAAACATAAACACACCCGCACACACACACACAAACGCGCACAAACACACAAACACACATACACACACGCACAAACACACGCACACACATACACGCACACACATGCACACAAACGCACACATACACACGCACACCCACGCACGCACACACACACACACGCAAACACACACACACGCACACGCACCCGAACACACACACACACACACACACACACACACGCAAGCACATGCGCATACACGCACACGTATACAAGCACAGACACACATGCACATACACGCAAACATAAAAAAAACATACGCACACACACACAGACACGCACAAGCACACACACATACACACACGCACAGACACACGCTCTCACACACACTCACACACCCACACACGTCCACACACGCCTCCTGCGCGCACGCACACACACACACACGCACACACACATACACACACACAGCCACGGAGAGACGCACGCACACACACACACACACACACACACAAACGCACAAACACACCGACAGAGCGAGTTGCAAACAACCACGCGCGCACACAAAGCACACGAACACACACACACACACACCACGCACACACCCACA